ATACACTAATTAATTTTTTGTCCAACTTATTCAAATTTTGAATCAAATTATTCTTTCATGATGCAAAACATTAATTTTGTACTAAAAAATATGAAGTCTCACATGAACCAACATAAATCAACACACGTACAAGTTTTTTACAATTTATAGTATAACACATTGTTTCAAATATGTGCATCATAGTCGGCAAATTTATCTAACCCACACAAGCATATAAAAACAAAAATAAAGCTGAAAATAAATTTTTTTTGGATTTTTTTGCACGTGAACAAGCCCACAAAATAGTATAAATAGATAAAAACTCGATATTTTTCCACCCTCAAACTTATAACAAATATTGCCCTTAACGTCTTAAAATGTAACGAGCAATACATAAAAATTAAGGAAAAAAGAGGAACTAAGTACTCCCCTTGTATAAATCTACAGGCGGTGAATGAACTAGAATGAAAGTACTGGCTCACTTGCTATATTTTTTCCCTTGTCCGGTGTGTTCAGGTGTATTGTTCCATTAAAATAATTAGAAAATCAATCATAACATGGAACAATTTATAATAAGCTCAAGCACAACATAAACGAAAATATGGAGATGAAGATAACCTATATTAGTAAAAGTAATAAAAATTACTAATCCTATATTCTAGAAAGCAAAATAAATAAAAGAGAAGAAATTTTTGTTGTCTCTCAATAAGCACGTGTTTATAGTTTTTAGCTTAACTTTGCTGTTTTGGCTATTTATGGAAGCTTGAAAAGAAAGTTTTCGCCCTTACATTGGTTACACTAGTATTTATTCCTTAAGTCATCTTTAAGCTTCCAGATCACAAGATTTTCATTATTGTCCAGCCTAACGATTCCATCTTCTTCTTTCTTGTTCTTGTTGCTTCCCCAATGATCTATCATTTTGCACTCTTCAATGTCACGTGTTTGCTGAGTGGAGCATTGTGAAGCTTTGTTGTTTTTCTTCCACCCTCAAGATTAATTCACTTCTTTTTAAAATCCATTAATGCTATTGCAGATGCTAAGAATGGTCTTTCCAAATTTAATGGCATATGTTGAGCAACTATATCAAGGATGATGAAATCAGCTGGAAAGAAATTATCTTCAACTTTGATGAGCATATCCTCTACTATTCCACAAGGATGCTTGAGTGTCCTATAAGCCAGTTTTAGGATTATTGATATTTTATTTGGGACCATCCAATTCTAATTTCATGTAGATAGACAATGTCATCAGATTAATACTTGCTCCAGAATCAATTAAAGCATTTAAATCAAGTGAATTTCCTATAGAGCAAGTTACGGTGAAATTCCCTGGATCTTTTAGTTTACGAGGGAGTTTATGTTATATGCTTGCGTTGTACTCTTCTGTCAAAATCACTATTTCATCTACTGACAGCTTTCTCTTATTAGTCAACACCTCTTAGAAAAACTTAGAATAATTGGGAATCTGTAGAATGTTGTCAATAAAAGGATGATGTGAAGTTATCTGTGAGCATCCAAGAACTTTTTGAATTGTTTGTCCAGTTTATTTTTCTGCAACTTTTGAGGGAATGACACCGAAAGTGTGTTTATTAACAGGGACGATTGCTTTAATGTTTATTAGTGGTACCTGATTCTCCTTTGTCTCTTTTTTTCGTAGTAATTTTTGGCAGCTGAACTCTACTTTTAGTTCCTGAATCTGTTCATCTTTAGGCTACCTTCAAAGCCTTTGAGGAAATGTAATAAGTGGAACATAAGTTCGAATATGGATAACAGGCTTGATTGATGATGTCTCTATAATTGTATATTTACAGATTCAACTACTGATACCTGTTCTCGTGGGTTCTTTTTAGTGTCGTTTAGCAAAGTACCCTATGTTCTATTAGCAAATCCAGCTGCCAACTACCACACCATATTCTCCAAATTTTGGATAGATGCTTGCAGGTTTTGGACTGTAGTCTCAGTCTTGATGTACTTAGTAAGTAGATTTTCCAAAGATGGCATATTCTTTTGTTGCTACTAAAATTCTTGTAGGTTGCCCTGTATTTAATATCCATGTCCCTGATTATTAGCCCATAAGAAGTTGGATGCTTGCTCTAACCTAGATTATATGTGTTGGAGTAAGGATTGTTTTGCTACTTCTGAAAGTTCTTTACATAACTGACCTCCTCAAGCTGATAAACATGGGTGGAGGCTAAAGGATAGCTTGCAGTTATATGATCTACCCCACGATCTTCGTAGATTGGTACTGGTTGGTGCACAGTGTTCACATTTTGGGTCAGTTTTTCCAATTTCCTTGTTAATATTTCCAACTAGGCTATCAATGATGTAACTGAATCAATGTTGTGAATACTTACTATTTTCCTCGCCCTTTCAGTTGGCTACATAGACTGTTTTTCTTCAATTCTTTCAAAATGACTAACTATCTAAAGGTATATACTAGATTGATCCTCATGCTATGCACTGCATAGAAGATGTGGACTTTAGCATTTTTAGGAATGTCCAGATTAGGACACTTTCTGAAATAATCCTTGAATCTTTCCCATAATTTTGGATAGCTTTCGAGGTCCTTTTCCTTGAATGTATGGACGTCATTTCTGATTTGACGGACTCGAAAAGGCGGAAATAATTTCAACATTCTACAAAACAATGTTCCCATGAAATAGTGAGATTAGCTATTCTCGTGCACCTTCTTTTAAAGTATGAGGGAATATCCACATTCGAAAAGTATCAGCTGGCATAGCTTCATAATGATCACATCGTAAAGTATCAGGAAAGTTTGTATGTATTTATGAGAATTTTCAGTTGATTTTCCCGAGAACCTCCCGATAATTTTGAAACAAGTTGATGACATCTGATCGAATGTGAAAGTTGGCATGCCTAAATGGTGGATAAATAATAGCCAATTGCATATGAGCAAGTGTGAGATTTAAATAATCCCTAAGAGCTTCTTTTGGTGGACTGGGTTGTTCAGCGCATCTAGTAGTAACTGAACTTGATTTTGATTTCCTGTCATGCCTCTTTCTTCTCTCTATTCTTTTCTTCGTTATTTCAAGGTTCTTTCAATCTCAAGATCCAATTTTAGGAGCTTGATTTCTTTAGAAACTTGCATAATCTGCTAAAAGTAAACAAAAGAGATTATATGTATAAATAATAGCCTAAAACAAAAATTCAAAAACTATATAAATTAATAAACTCAAATTAAATATTTTATTTTTTGACAACAGTACCAAAAACTAGATTACTAATTTTGAATTAAAATAAATAAATAATATGGTTCATCTTCATCTAATACAAAAAAAAAAAACAAAAAAAAGATATAATTTAGCATGTTTTTAAGTAAATTACAAGAAGAATAATAGAAAAATATAACCTAGATCATGATAGAATGCAAAAAATTCTAATCTTCAATTCTAATGTTGAATTCTTCAAAATCTTGATGTAAATTGTTTCAATTTCTTGCTAGAATTTGATCTCCTTTCTCAAAATATAGCAATGGGCCTCGTTCTTGATGAATTTGGGGATATCATTGTGTATGAAAAAGCAAGAGAGAGTTCTTTAATATGTAACCCTTGTTTTGTATTTATAAGAGTCAGAAAATAAGTCAAAATCGCGTCCAATTTAGGTTCGAAAAGAATTTGAATCGCGAAAGGAACTATTGATTCATTTGTTGAAATAGCCCCTGCTCGCACGCCGTTGAGCCAAATGGCACTCGAGTGGGTGAAAATAGGGTACCCCATGCACGCCATGAATTGCTTACGTGTGCGTCGGTTTGAGTTGGTTCTCCATGAGCAGATTTCGATATTTTGGTTATAATTTTCTCTCCCGATATTCGATTGAGGTGATTTAAAGTACTTTGTAAAAATAACTCAAAGGGCTACAGTTCTTCTAAATGTACAATTTTTCCAATTTGAAATTTTGCTTTCCAAATATTAGGTCTCAAGTTGAGGCTAAAAATCTGAAACATAATTTCTTTTTCTATAGATTGATTTACGAAAATATTTCAACTATATTTCACTCTTTTGACATTTAGTTGCATCCAATTGATCATATACGATCTTCAATCATCATTTTTGCCCTTTTTCATTCATTTATTTTAATTTCGTCAATTTGCATTGAGTTCAACGTAACAAACATATTTAATACATAATTAAATTTTAACTCATCCAAATCACTAATAAATACTCCAATTTAATGGTCTAAATAAGTGTATAAGATACACTTATCATATGGTAGCAGCTTAAACGCTGGTTTGATATTATATTAAATGTTGAATAAATTGCTAAAAAGGGAAAAATTTTATTAATTTAAATTATATCTTCAAAGTTCAAACACAATATGTTTGTGGTCCAGATTTTTGCCATAAGAAAAAAAAGGATAAGAAAAGGAAAAAAAAAATAAAAAAAAAACATAAAATAGATTTTTGCCAATTTAACCCGATCAAGTTGTTCTAGAAGAACTTTTTAAATAAAAATACATTTAACGTTTCGTGCTCTTATGAACAAAGACTTTTCCATGAAAATTTCAAATTAGAGATTTTTCAAAATTTCAACTCTTAAAAAGGGACCTTTTAAAATGATGGTCCACAAGGTAACCCCAAATGCTAAATTTCAAACTTATGAATCATTAACATGCTCGTGAATTATTTGTTGTTATATTTAGAGAAAATACTATTTTTATCTAAATAATTCTTTCAATATAAATCAATTTCAGATTTATACAAAATTGTAAAAAAATTAGAAAAATCATTACACTCCACCAACAGTTAAAAAGTATACAAATTCTCCCTAAAAAGAAAAGAATATACAAGCAAACAACATATCTAAGAGACAAAATTGGTGACTGTCCCCAAAACATCAAAACTCTATGGACTTATTCGGCGAACAGTACTAGATAAGACGAGCTTTTAACTTCTTTATCATTAGAAATATGATTCAGTGTAGACTTCGCCTCGCCACACAAGCCACTTATGTACAACAAGCAACTCACAAGAGAAATGAAAAAACTTGCTCAAGCAATATGAATTTAATCACAACAAATCGGACATCGTACAAGTCCATTTTCATTGCAATCAGGGCATCGATGAAAGCCATATTCTTGCTCATTTTCATCACATTCTTCCTCAAAATCACCCTCGTGGTATATTTTACAGCTCCCGGAACATGTTTCACAAGGCACAAATCTAATATCCCCACATGCTTCACAAACTCCTATTCTTCCACCTCTACCGCCGTCCTCCACCAGCTCACAGCTTTCCACCACCTTTTGGAGCCGTCCCTCATCATTCATTAGTCTGACTTCCTCTGCCCCGCCAATATATTTCCGTCCAACAAAAATTCTCGGCAAGCCGCCGCTGAACCTGTCCCCCAATAACTCTTTCAGCTCCTCCTTGAATCCTGAATGCATTGATACATCCCTCTCATCAACCTTAACACCAAGTCCTTTAAGAAGCACTCGCACATGGCAGCTATCCTCGTATGTCTTTCTCACACCTCTTAGGCTTGTATAATACACAATCACCTTCTCTGCACCACGTGCTGCAATAACCTCATTTCCCCTGAAAGTGCCACTTGCGTTTTGCTCGCAATCTTTTACCTCCAAAGGCTGATCCTTTCCAGCCAATGCTGCCTCCTTGTCACCGTCCAATGAGAGATGAATTGGGTTGGCCGGAGGAAGATCCTCGAGTGCTTTTTGGAAAGTGGAAATAACTTCAGGATCAAATTCTGAAACTATAGTTGTATCATTTGAATTTGAATTCAAGTCATTGTTGGACATAACGGGCCATGATGGAATGGAAGATGCTTCATCTTCTTCTTTCACTCTTGGCATTGTTTGATCATCAAGATGAGACATAATTGGATTACAAGGAACATTGACCGATGTACCATTTGAATTCATATTTGAATTCGAATCATTTTCAGTCATATCAGGCCACAATGTAATGGACGACACTTCACCATTTTCTTTCAATCTTGGCGTTGTTTGCTCGTCAAGACGTGACAAATGTGGATTATGCAAACCTTGGAAAGATATACTACGAAGATGATGAGGCCTTAGAGGGCCAGTGTCCTCAAGACCCTCCATCAATTCCCAAACATTGATAATCTCGGGCTCACCCGGAGGAGTTCTTGTAGGTGTTTTAGTAAACACTTTCGGGATTTTCTCATCAATCATTTTCGACCAAGTTTTTGCCTCGATGATCTCCATTTTGAACTCATCTTTAATCACTTTCTCTTTATTGAATCCCCCAGTTTCAATTGGAATCACATCTTCTATATAATGAATCTGATTTAACGGATGATTACGATTTGATGAATCAAGCATCAAAGAACCCAATGTGGAGGAAGAGAGAGTCACCATATGGTGGCTATCGCTTGATTTCTCCGGCTGGCCGTGGACTTGCATTGAGTAGCTCCGCCCTACCGGCGCCTTGCAATTCCGGCATAATTTTTTCTTCGAACTTACGCAACCCATTATCAGAAAAAGAAATCCAAAAAATAATCAAACCCAGATATGGAAATGAATTACTTTATATCAAAACAATCAGATTATTAAAGAATTGAACCAATTTATTTCTCGCAAACGGGTACAAAGAACATTCCCAGATGAATGAACTGGAAGTGCAACCGATAGGGCAGAGATTCCAAGAATTTAAATAATCAAGATCGAGGAATAAAAATCATAAAAAATATATATACATATATATTTGGAAAAACTGAAGCATCTGGGATGAATTGCAAAAATTAAGAAAGAAAATACTATTACCTAAATAGAATCGATAAAAATTGATGGCAGAGAGAGAAGATCAAGTGGATAGTTCTCTGCAAAACAAGGCAAAATATGATTCATTCCAAGGAGAACTGATTATAAAATCTTAAATTTCAGACAAAAAACACCAAATTAGAACATACGACAAGAAATCTTAAAAAGACAACCAATGTCTGAATAAATAGGATCAAAATTTTCCAGCAGAAACATAGGACTTCTCACTTCTGGATCTATTGCAGAGTAAATCAAGAATTGGAAATTGAAGTACGAGAAAACTGGAAGTCAAAAGAAAATGGCAAAGAATAAGACCCTTTCACAGTTTCACTTTTTCAGCAGCTTCTTCACACTCTTCTCTCTCTTCCTACTTTTTCTCCCCTCTAGAAAGACTTGAAATTGGAAATTCAGAACATGGAGCAGAAATGGTTAAACAGTGTTAGCTTACTGTTTTTTACAAGCCTGATTTCTCACTTGGTTACTTTTTCTTGTCCAATTGAGTGGTTTGAAATATTAATGCCCGTATAATTCTCAATATTGTAGAATAAGAATAAAAAATAGAGTAATACTATTCGTTCTCATTGGGGAAGAAAACATAGTGTATGTGTCTTTAAATGATAAGTTAAATGAAAAGTGAAATTAAATGACTTAAATTTCACCTATCATTTAATGCCACATTAACGTCACGTAGACTGTGTTTTCATCCCCTTAGGGATGAATAGCATTACTCAATTTCAACTACACATTTATAGTTACTATTCATTTATTATCCATACATTTACCAAGATTCCGATAAAATGATTTATAAATTTGCCAAAGGAGGTTAATTTTCTAAAGTTTTAAGCAACTCAAAAGGTTCAAGGACGAAAGCACAAAATCAGTGCAATCCATGTAGTGAGGCAACCATCTGCTCTTTTGTATGCAGTCCAACTTCAGCCGCAACTGCTCCTTCCGTTTTTTGCTTCATCCTTTTTGTCTCGC